ACGACAGCGCTCCGGACACGACAGCGCTCCGGACACGACAGCGCTCCGGACACGACAGCGCTCCGGACACGACAGCGCTCCGGACACCGGGATACTGTATGCAGGCAGGTGGCAGAGCACTGCTGCAGGCAGAAAAATCACTATCTGCAAGTAGGGAGCTGCATCAGCATGCGTAGGCTGCGAAGGAACGGGTGAGGTTTATTCACACCTGAAGAAGGCTCCACAGCCAAAACGTTGTATCTCTTTTCAACGTAGAACAAGCCTTCACCTGTTCCGCTGTGATCTAAGAATTGGTTGTTTCAACAGAGGCCTGTGCTGCTTCCTCCTGCCAGCTAGGGGGCAGTGTTCCTGGCTGTGACCGCCCACACACCGCTGCCACTGCCGAGGTCGGATAACTGCTTTCGGCACGGCCCAGCACCTGACCTCCGGGGCCTGGGAGCTGAAACACGCCCCCCGTTCCGGCTCCTCTTGCCCACCTGGATCTCCGGACTCCTGTCCACTGGGATGAAGACCGCAGGCTCCGACGGCGGTCTGTTCTCCGCCTGCCGCGGGCCCGGCTGCTCCGGTACCGGTGCCGGCTTCTTCTCTGGAGGCGGTCCCACGGGTTCCTCTACCGGCTCATCTCTGTTCTCAGCCTGCCCTTCGTCTCTCTCCCCCTCGTCCTCTTCGTCTTCCTCGGAGGTGCTGCCGCTGCTGCTGTCCGATTCCTCCCCTCCCTCTTTCCCCTCCTCTTCCTCGTCTGCGTCTTTCCTCCTCCTCCTCTTGCGGTTGGCCCCTCTCACACTGCTGACCTGGCCGGCCAGCCCGTCCCCCGTGTCCTCCATGACACTGGGAGAAGAGGAAGACAGACCAGGGGAATGAAGGGTGCGCTTAAGTTATGAAGACAGAAACAACCTCAGCCAGAAAGCAGAATGATATTCAGGCCTCCAAAAAAGACTCCCTCTGCTTAGAGGTCTGAGCCACTTCCAGCAGCAGGCTCTTTGTATACGTTGCTCAAAACAATATAGACCCAGTATTGCCCAAAATAAGATATAACAGGTACATTGAAGCTGACACTCGCCCGTTCTTGGTTGTATGTGCATGTTTGCATACATTCTAAGCACATGATCTTTTGCAGAAACAACACAATGTTACCAGTAAGAAACATCGAGCCACTACAGCCGACTCGCTGCATGTGGCAGACAAGGTTCTGGGAAGGTTGTGGGAGACCTAAAACCACTGCTGAGCTCTGAGCCGGGAGAGAAGGAGCCTTCATACTGTTTGCTCTGGTACAGCTTGTCCCCTGTGCCCAGCTTGGAGGTGGTGTACAGCAGCTTCATCTCGGCATCGCTGACCTGCACCTGCGCCAGCTTGCTCAGGATCTCCGCGCGCTGCAGAGCACAGAGAGAGGGCAGGAGGAGGAGAGGATCAGAGAGAGAGAGAGAGAGAGAGAGGGCAGGAGGAGGAGAGGATCAGAGAGAGAGAGAGATGGCAGGAGGAGGAGAGGATCAGAGAGAGAGAGAGAGAAAGAGAGAGAGAGAGAGAGGGCAGGAGGAGGAGAGGATGGGGGAGAGAGAGAGAGGGCAGAAGGAGGAGAGGATCGGGGAGAGAGAGAGAGGGCAGAAGGAGGAGAGGATCGGGGAGAGAGATGGGGCAGGAGGAGGAGAGGATCGGGGAGAGAGATGGGGCAGGAGGAGGAGGGGATGGGGAAGAGAGATGGGGCAGGAGGAGGAGGGGATGGGGAAGAGAGAGAGAGAGGGCAGAAGGAGGAGAGGATCGGGGAGAGAGAGAGGGCAGGAGGAGGAGAAAGAAAAGGAAGGGAAGTCAAAGGGGAGACAAGGAAGGAAAGAAGCAGAGGTGTGGGTCAACAAACAGCACGGAAGTAACAGTTTAGTGAAATGAACAATAATCATTAATGCAATGTTAATTTTACAATTATTAAATTTGAAATTACAAATGAATGGAGGAAAGACTTAAAAAAGGTCTCAAACCACAGTGCATCAGACCAGATCCGTCTGGCTAAACCGGCGCAGCGGTGATGTATTGATTTACAGCAGGTCTGCACCCAAGCACCGTGGCTCCCGGCCCATCAGGCTCACCTGGGCTTTCTTCTCCTTCAGCTCCAGGACCTTCTGCAGCTGTTTCTTCTGCTTCCGGGTTAAAGGCTGTCTCCTGGGCGCGCTGGTCTCCAGCGCCCCCCCCGGCTTCCTCTTCTTCTTCGTGGCCGGGAGGACGAGGGGGTTGCTCTCATCCACACCCTTCAGCGCCTCTCCGTCTGAGAGGGGGCAAGAACTGTTACTTACTGGACAAACAGGGACAGAATATTCTTTAAACACACGCCAGTCGAGTCCTGAGAGGCACCGATTCACAAACCGAATCCCTGAACAAGCAACAGACACAAACGGTGTGGTTTATTTAGATTTTCAGAAGACTTAGTTCTCATCCCTTCATGAAAGATCGATACTTCAGTTTTAGGCAGTAGGCATTCAAGATGAAGGTGTGAATCTGCATTGAGCACTCATTAACACACAACAGCACTATCAAACTATTAAACTCCCAGCCTCTCACTCTCACCTGTGATCTGAACCTCACAGTGCCTTCTTTCTTACCAAAAACACACATTGAAATCTACCTCTACCTTACATGTTAAAAGCTCAATCCCCATAATTTCTATCCTTTTATTTCATTCTGTTGATGCATGTTTTTGCACATAACCTGTTACCTTTTGGTTGTTTTTGCACATTGCCTGTTGTTGTTTTTGCACACTGCCTGTTGTCTCTGTCTTTCTTTTATTATACAATTGTATTGTTGTTTTTTTTTCTTTGTACTACTTATGTCTGAGAGCTAGTTAATAGCATTTCGTTATACCATATACCTGTATGAGTATAATGACAATAAACTTGAACTTGAACAGCACAGAGGATAGATAAGGGGAGGATGCTCAGTTTGGTGGGGCAGTAATTAATGGGCTGCTCATCAGATGTGGAAAACAAGGCGACCAGGAACTGCTTTAGGACTGCCGCGGAGAGAGGAGGAAAGACCCCAATATTCTGGTGGAAATTAGGTGTGCCTGGCGTTATTTCAAAGCAGGAAATTCACATTCAGGTGTCTGTAACACACTGACCAACCAGCTTACAGACACAGTCTCCCCAGACTCCTACAGGAACAGCTGGATGTGACCCCTGTAGCCATAAGCATCGTGAACTACTGGCCAGTGAGCACGCTGAAGCACCTGAGCACCCCCTCTGACCCGCTGTCTTTGCTCTGTGTGCAGCCTGGTTAACCCTCAGGGGCTCTGGCAGCATCAGGGTCAAGTGTTGATCCTGTGGGTTGTGGCAACAGCACAGAGGGGATTATAATTAATAATAATAATTGCTTACACTTATATAGCGTTTTTCTGGACAGTCCACTCAAA